AGCCCTCGTGTAGCTTTGCGCGAAATTCAAAAACAAAACACATTAATTCCACAAAATAATTTGATTCAGTGCGAATTATTTAAACGTTTTAAATCAAACTAATATTAAACAAAATTATAAAGTAAAAAAAAAACATTGGGTAAAATTGGAACTTAATTATATTCACCACTGGTCTTAAGATGTTTTTATTCACCAAGATGTTTTTATTTGTGTAAGGCGATGATTTTCCGAAATATGTAATAAAATGCATCCTGGGGATGAGTCGGTCATCAATTCAAGCACATTCAATTGTGGCACAGCACAAGAATTAGTAACTTTTGAATGTTTTTCTTACTTTTTTTCAATGCTTTAAATAGAATAAATTATAATATATTTTCGTATCTTACAGTTAAAAAAATTCGATTTCAACTTATACAGATTTATAGTCCTTTCTCACGATAAGAAAATGAAGAAAAATTCAAATCAAATTGATTTACAAGGTTTCACTGTATACTTCTCAAGAATTAAGCATAACACCAACTTTTTATAATTAACATATCACATTAGGTGCTGTAAGTTTGAAACGACACTTTACTAATCACTTGGACTATTAATAAAAACTATTTCCACCATTTACGAATTGAGGTGTCGAATAACACGTTGGGCAACTCCCTCTGAACGCGTGTGTTTTACTAATGGCCAACTGAGTCAAATATTTCTTGTAGAGCCTCGTAAAATCTTTACCTTTAAGTAAGCTTACCGGAGTGCACGTGCCTCTTTGACACAATTATTTAATTTATGAATCACTAATAAGTAAGTTAGAACCTAATATACATATCGTAAATGCTCGCACGAGAAATTTTAACTTATCCAGTATAAAAATGAACGCCATGGTAAATGTAACTAGAAATCTGAACTGCTTTAGTAAGTTCTATGACGAATGACGTCGATTTAAAATATGTTGTTGTGGGTAATGGCAAAAATATTTGTCCTTCTGCATTTTCTGCCAACTTAGGCTTAAAAAGTATTAAAAAATAAGTAAAAAATGTTAAGTACGTAAAAATGGAAAACACGTGTTAATAGCAATTCGTATAGAACTACCGAACCAGAAATTATATATATTGTTTTAACGATGAAGAAATTTTAGATCTGAGTTAATTTTGTATGGAATGTTAGGAGATTATGGATTTTTTCTCATCTGTATATTTTATCATTTTGTTATATTGTGTGAGACACATTCTAAATCCTGTAGTTTTTGAAAGCATGGTGAACTGTAAGCCGGTTAATGAATTCGGACATCTGAATGCAACATTATTAAAGGACACTTTGTTCAACACGTCAAACTAGTGAACTGAGTTAATCAGTAGCTGTCTAGCTGTTATACACCCAATTTTTAAATGAACATAAATAAGGGATTATACTCCTTTTGTTAGAGATCTAACAGGCCGAAGAACTACTGCAAAGAATGGTCATTCTAGAAACTTGTCCACCCTCCGGGGCCCTAGTCAAGACCTACATCTGAGCTTTATTGTCGTAGAGACTCAACACAGAGACAAGGTTGGAAGTTCACTTTAACTGCTGTAATGCGATTAATTCAAAGATTAGGAAAAATAATATATGCAACCTAACGCCAGAAACAAACGTAAACTACAATACAGAAGTTTCTTAAACTCATAACGGCGTTTCGGGCTAAATGTTTCTAACATTTTATTCAAACAGTGAACATTTAGAATTTTGGTTACTTTTCGTACCATTTTGGTTAACGAAGAGCTCTTCTGCTCAAAATATCATTTAGAATAAAATCAAATAACTTATTTTTTTAGTTAACATTTATGGTGTTAGTTTTAAACTTTTGATCTCAGAAACAAAAGTTATTTGGCCACATGTTGCCAAGTCAACACATAATTCAACCCAAACTTTTTGGATTACGCATAGCAAACATCTGCAACCGCACGTAGCGCTTGCTAACGAAGCAATCACGACTGTCATTAGATAAAACTTTAGAATATTCTTTCAAGTTTACTTTTTCTTATGATCGCAGGTAAGAAGACCAGCTGTTCTTGGCAGCTGTTGTCCAGGTAACCGTCAGTCATGCACCTGGCTCCTCTCGCCTTTGAGTCTTCAGTCGCTCCAGTTTCGACCATTATTCTAAATAGTATTCGAATAGTAGAACAACGAGGATTACTTGTGTGAGTTTTCCTTTTCATCAAGTATCTACAGCTAAGTTTTAATATATATCTTAGGAACTCCATCTCATTCATCACCAAGATACTGGTAAGTTTTGGTTTTCAAGCTTTCGGTCGATTTTATCCTTTCCATCTTCGTTAATAAACGACAAGTTGAGGAAAATAATTTTATGTCTAGATGTGGCAAAGGTAAATAAGATTTAATCTTTTGTTCAGTTGGTCTATTTCTATTTAGTAATCTCTGCGAAGAAAAGTGTTTCTCTAAAAACGGGTTTTGTTTTCATAAAAATAATGACCAAAAAACACACCGTATTGCCCCTAATTAACGCCCCCTCTCTAATTATCGCCCACCCCCGATATTTTCATAAAGCTTACCTTGTGTCACAGCAATAGTAATCCAAGATATAATCCACTTTTATTCCCGTAATTTTGATTTGAAAAAAAGAAGAAAAACAAACGAACTCATTACACACACGCACGCACACACACTTATTAACATTGAAATCAACAAATCACGTGTAAAAGATAGGATATGGAACTGCACAAATACTATAATTAGCGACCCCACTTTGTAGTTTGCAATGCCCCCGGGAACGTTAATTAGTGGCAATACCGTACGTAAATTTACCTTTCTTTCTGACCTACAAAAGATTGCACGCTACATTCATCAGGTCTTTAAATCCAACCAGCAATTGACCGTTCATTATTCACGTTATAATTTTGATATACCTGAGGATGACATAATCTTGGCGAAACATCGTAAATTTATACTACAGTTTTCTTCATTACCCACTCAACTTTTTATAGTGGTCATGAAATTGACTTACGTGAATGCTGTCGTTCTCAAACTGTACATAGTGAACATGTTCTTCCTGTTAAATACGCATCAGTTTTTCATTCTATTTTATGCATATCTTTAACGTTTTATTAATTTGCATCTAGAAGAACAGACGTTTAGACAAAAGGACTACGATATTTCTATGTTGAATAATTCTATTTTTTTTTGTTTAAACATTAGTTAATATCTAACTTGCAACACTGTTATTTAATATCAGGGTTTAAAAAAAATCGTGTTTAAATTACAAACATATACTGTAACATCTCCCTCCCTTTAGAGACATTTATATGGAGTTGGAATTTTCAACCTGAACGTCACCTAGTGCTCACTTATAGGCCAAACGGCCTGATCAGAGATACCCAAGATTCAGGTATAGCTGTTCCAAGTTTCGAAATATTGACCAAAGGGAAGGCAGCCAGCACCCGCCAACTCAGTGGTTTTGTCTGGGTCTTTGAAACAGATAACGGGATTGTCTTGTCACTTTTATAACGCATCTACATCTAAAAGTGCGAAATGTGTTCAGCGGTATCACTTCTTTATCCTCGGTCCTTGCGATCCGCAGCCTGACACGTTAACCATTAGGCCATGCCAAGCCTACGAGCTTTTATTTTAATAATTGATACAAATATTGATTAAGTTATTCATTGTTAACAGTGTTAAATCTGTAAACATATTTTGGCTTGGTCATGAAAATATTTTTGCCACTGTATATTTATTATTGTATAGATGTATACGTGATCGATGCCGTGTATGTATATTGAGGTCGTGCTTTGACGTCGAATTTCCATCAATGTATGTGTTAAGAGATTTAGTAAATTTGTTCGTTTTGAAACATTGTATGGGACAGTTGTTACTTTACGTAAGAGAGAGGTTGCTACCATGTGACAAGATCCTATTCTGTCAAATGAGCTATATTAATGTTTTCCAGGAACAATGTTTTTAAGAAATCGAAATTCTGTCGTCATGTCATCTCCACAAATCTTATGTATAGTCTGTTCCGTACTCTGTGACAGAAATTTGCTTGAAAGTTCACGTGCTATAGGATGGGTGATTTAATTGTGCTTTTTATTTTCTTCGGATTTCCATTAACTAGTATCAACCGTTCTTTTTTTTTCTTCTTCTTTCCATGCATCAGCATCTGTAGTTCACAGTACCAAAAGAAGTTAGTGGCTGTAGTTTCACTGTAAAGAAACAGCTGTTTTATTATACGTATATATAAGCAAAAAAGTTAGTTTTTCGGAATTGGATAAAAAAACGCTATTATTATTATTAGAAACAGAGAGAGGTAATCCTAACGAGTTCCTGTCACAGATATTCCTGAAAGGGAAATTGCGCGGTTCACTTCTCGTTCGAATACTTAAATCAACCTAACTCTTCTATTTAACAATTTAATTTCATGATATTTACTGTGTTGCTTATTGTAAGTTGTTGATTATTCAATGATAAAACTATTAGGTTAAAACGACATATCGTTTAGGCTTATCGAGAACTTTTGAATACTCGTTTTGTGACTAAAGCAGAACAACAAAAGCACATCAATTTTTCACATAGACACTAGGTAGAGCTATAAAGTTGATTGACACGAAAACAAGATCATACCTCAAAACCAATTAAATATAGAAATAACAGATTTAATTTGGAATATCCTGAACAATTTCGTCTACAACAGTTCTTAACATAGAAACATTTTTAAAAAATACTTTTGCTTTAAAGCACTTTATTTTCTCTTTTTTTCCACTAGTTTACACTATTTCTTTTTATTTCTTACTTGTTAATGTTTTATTCATTATCCATCAGGATTTGTTTTTTGCTTAGATTTGCCAATATTGAAAGATGAATATTATTATTTAAAGACAGAGAATTTTACGGACACAGAAATTTCTTTTCTTTCAAAATATCTTCATAGTCTACATTTTGTAATATTCATGTAAATAAACGGACTGGTTATTTTATCGACTTATTTTATATTTCAAAGACTGACGTTTGACTTATTTCTAAACAAACATTTAAGACTTATCTTGATAGAGAAAAGTTTAAAGTAATATTGTATAAAAATAAGAAAAAAGATAGTACGCATATAATAAAGATATTTTTTAATCCAAATATTCATTTATGGAGTGCCCGGCATGGCCAGGTGGATAAGGCGCTCGACTCACAATCTGAGGGTCGCGGGTTCGAATCCGCATCCCACCAAACATGCTCGCCCTTTCAGCCGTGGGGGGGTTATAATGTGACGGTCAATCCCACTATTCGTTGGTAAAAGAGTTGGGGGTGGGTGGTGATGACTAGCTGCCTTCACTCTAGTCTTACACTGCTAAATTAGGGACGGCTAGCGCAGATAGCCCTCGTGTAGCTTTGCGCGAAATTCCAAAAAAACAAACAAAACAATCATTTATGGACAATTTTTCTTCATTGCATTTACCTAACAAGTTTTTGTTCTAAACAACCAAAAGGTCAACTAAAATTAATATACTGAGGTCTAACAATTTGATAATTGTGAAGACTTTTAAAATAAAAAATGACCTATTGGATACACAAGGTCTTAACTGTCGAATTATAATGTAGAGGAAGTGCGTTACCATGGAACTTCTAGGTGCACAGAGATACTGATATCCCTTACCCCAGCTTACACGGAGCTTTCTTCTATATATATTGACATGTGCCTCCTTAAAATTTCATAGCGAGTTCACAAAATAGCCACCATTATAACAATATATCATTTATACACTTACTATATAAATACTAAATTAAATCATTTTAACACATTATCAACAAGCCCGAAAACAAACGCGTGCAAGCTCTATGATACAATTCAACAGATGGTAGTTTTTATTTTGTTCAATAGGCTGCGCCCTAGGCAGGGCTTCTCCCACTTGTATTCGTGTGGAACGACGCAGCACATGTAAATGCTACGAGGTAGGACGAAATATTAAAAGATGTTGATTTAGCGTGGCACGGAAGTGAGCAAAAACTGCTACTTCGTATCATGCCTATTGTAAGAGACGATAAGCTCTTATAAAGAAGGGACAGCTGGGATCATCTTCAGGCAATCTCGTTAACAATGCGTGATAGGGGGTTCAGTCGGAACTATAGAGCCTTTCCTTGCTTTTTTCCCCTTAATTAGATAATTATAATATCGACCACGTGATTTGTTTTTGAAATAACTTTAACAAATACCGTAATACATGCCCTAATGCGTGTTTTTTAAATAATTTATGAATAAAATAAAAAATTAACCATAGAACAAATAACGTTCTTCTTTAGAAACATGCCATGTGATAAAATGTGTCAAGAAATTCAAATAATAAAACACTAATCAACAACGGATATTAAACATGAGTTTTTTATTAATTTGTTTTTTCAGAATTGTTTGGAAATGTAAAAACTAACCTGGATGAAAACTCACTCTATGACTCGTCTTTGGAGAGAATATTTGTGCGAGAAATTTCGTTTTATTTACAAGTCTAAATTAAAATATTTAGAAGAAATCTGTCATAGCGATTATTACAATTTGTGCTCATTGAATCGATATAAAATAACTCAAATTATTCAGCTATATTTTTATTACTAGTAATATAATAACAGTGAAGCTGGACATAATTATATTTATCCTTATTGGTTAAGCACCTTCACGTGACCAAATAACTCTACATTATTTATCCCTATTTGTTAAGCACCTGCATGTGATCAGATAACTAGCTTAATTATCTTTATTGGTTAAGCAAAAAAAAATATATATGCACATATTTTAAAAGCTGAAACTTGCAAGACAATTACTCTGTCGCTAATGTTTTCAAAATTTCGTTATTTCTGTTCCTTAAGTCCAAAACCAAGTGTTTAAAACTTAGTCAAATTGTGATTCACGCTTTTTAAAAAAAATATATATGCACATATTTTAAAAGCTGAAACTTGCAAGACAATTACTCTGTCGCTAATGTTTTCAAAATTTCGTTATTTCTGTTCCTTAAGTCCAAAACCAAGTGTTTAAA